CAGGGTCAGAGAGATACTGAGGCTATAGGAGCAGCCTATCAAGATACATGAGGTCTATTATGGACAGTAGGAGCCTCCCAGGCGTCCACATGGAGGGTTGGTGCCTCCTACAGATTTAGTGCGACATTGCTTCAAGGAGCCTTTTGGAGAGGGGTCGAGCAGAACCCCAAAGGACTTGACTCCTCAAATGAGAGTGCTAGAGGCCATTATCGGGGAGGACACTACTTCCCAGTTGGGATATAGAGAGGGTCTCGACTCGCTTACAGCCTCGCTTCTTAATGCTATGATGCGTGACAATATTTGATATCCGGGACCTCCTTCTTTCGTGAGATGGAGGATACTATAGCCGAGGGGATTCAAGGGTCGCAGCCAGCTTTCCCTATGCTCACTGGATCACGTTTCTTATCCGCAGAATAGTGCTTGATAAGCCCCCGGTATGATGGATGAGTATACAGTGCCACCACAGAATTCCCACTTACAACCTGTCACAGAGGATCGACACATACCACGCCTCGAGCACCCAGACAGCCTAACTGTCGTCCCGATGTGCGAGTCCGCAGCTCAAAGGATGAGATCATCGAGAGGGATTGCAGCCACCGAGGAGGAGGAGCTAGAGGCACAGCAGGGAGAGTGAGCGAGCATGCGGATGGCTGCTCGACGATGACTATCTCGCCTATTCCTTAGATGCCTCCACGCAGACATGATGCAGAGGCCGGTAGCTCCAGCTTCTTCTCCACTGCCTCCATGAGCATGACCCCGCTCTCATTGCTATTCTTGAGCGGATGCAAGCAGACACAGATAGACAGCACAGAGACAAATTGCTACTTTTGCCCGATTTGACTCGACAGATTTAGTTCTAGAGGCAAAAGAGAAGAGCCATGCAAAGCAAGAGCAGCAGATGCATCAACAAAGAGATACTCTTGCAAAGAAGGCAGCTTATGGGTTTCATGCAGCACGTAGTGACAGCTCTTGGGGCCCCACAGCCACAGACTTCGCCCCAGCTTGCTCAGCCTGCTTCCACCATGATGACTCCAGCTATACAACCCAGCGGGCTTCAGGGTCGGGGACAGCCTCTAGCTCAATTTGCTTCACCTCTTATACAGGTGTCCCAGTGGTTGGCCTCACCCGTGGTAGCCCCATAGTTCACTCCACTTCAGACGGGCTTCACACCAGAGCAGTCCTCCTCGCTATTCGTGCCTGACACATCAGTCTCCAGGAGTCTTGGAGCATCCTTCAAATGAGTTGACCGACTTGCCTACTCCGCCTCATATGCATTCTCGCGGGTCCGTCTCGGCTCTGAGAGACCCAACATGTGACTACTCAAAGGCTCCCCTCGTCTGTTGCCTCGTCAGATCCTACGACAGACATACTAGTAGCTTCACAGGCAAAGACCAGCCCTAGCTCGCACCCAGCACCTTCAAATGACACTTCCCCCACCACAGAGGTCAGGCCAGTTCAGAGCTCGAGGTCGAGATGATGATAGTGCCCAGATTCTAGCTTGCCCCACGTTCTTGAAATACCTCGTCTGGCTGCTTTGCCCTTGCCGTCCAACCCCTAGGTTTTGGTGTTTGACGCCAAAGGGGGAGAGGGTGTTCGAGTATGTAGTCTCAGGGGGAGCTACATTTAGGGGGAGCTAGTTATCTAGTATTAGCCTATTATATACATTTGGAGTTCTATTTGTGTGATACACTATTACTTATGCATTCGTGTGTTTACTTTCATGCATACTATTATATATATGTGGTAATGCTATCTACGTGATTGTGAAATATGACATGTGTGCTTTCTACTTTGCATTATTTAAATGTCATATCACTTGTGTTATGCTCATTTGCTTTTGCTTCCGCGTTTATACTTCGAAGCAAATGAGCTTTGTTACTTGTACTCATGCTTAATTCATATCCTTTGAGTACATTGTGTTGGCGTGGGTTATATAAGCTTGCCTAACTCTTTTGTTCTTAACGACAAAAGCTTATATGAACCAAGCCCGTCAAAAACCTCATTTCATAACATACTCGAGGTGGTATTGTCATCAATCACCAAAAAGGGGGAGATTGAAAGCATCTAGGCCCCTAAGTGGATTTCGGTGATTAATGTCAATACAAGATTACTATGACTAACGTGTGTTTTGCAGAGGCAATTAAGTTAGGTCATGGTAATGGAGACCGATTGAGCAATTGAGGTTGTCATGCCCCTACGATGGAAATCGTTTCGGTTTTCAAAGGATGGACGACAAGGTTAAGGATAACTAGTTCTTAAGTGTCAATTGAAGTTGGAGAGACACTTAGAGTAGTTTAGGATTTTGTTTTTCCTTTGGCCGTACCATGAAGGGGGGTATGAACGGGTAGCTTGACCTAGTTGAGTCTAGTGAGTTAGGTGTGGTGCACACTTGTTAAAACTAGCTCTAGGTAGCTCCTATGAATGCCTAAGATCCTTTGGAGCAAACTTCATTCACATATGATCGAGAGTTGGAAGTGAATGGAGGGTCAAATACTGACCGGACGCTGGCTCCGGTGCGACCGGACGCTGGCCGCAGGGTCCGGTCAGTTCATTTGACTGAGGAGAACAAGTCTGGAGTGACCGGACGCTGGAAGGTCGTGTGACCGGACGCTGGGGGCCAGCGTCCGGTCGATTCTAGTAAGGGTCCAGACTTGAGAAAGTGTGACCGGACGCGTCCGGTCAGTGGTGACCGGACCCTGCGTATCCAGCATCCGGTCGATTACAGTAAGCATCCAAGAGCGACCGGACGCGTCCGGTCAGTGCTGACCGGACCCTGACAGCGTCCGGTCATCACTTGGAAACTGTTGCGCGGATTGAACTGACCGGAGCGTCCGATCAATTTGATCGGAGCATCCGGTCATCCCGCAGAAACTCATAACGGTTCGTTTTTTAGGCTATCTTATAAATAGAAGCTCCACTCGTGTGTGGAGTCACTTTTGCTCATTCCAACAGCTGAGAAACACGTTTGTGAGTGCCAAGAAGAGCAAGGTCCTAGTGAGGTGTTTGTGATTTGAGAATCCAAGAGTGAAACCTCATTAGTGAATCAAGAGTAGACAAGTGTGCATCCATCTTCTCATTAGGCTTCACGTGGTCTAGTGAGAGTTCGTGCTTGTTACTCTTGGTGATCGCCATCACCTAGACGGCTTGGTGGTGATTGGGAGCTTGACGATCACCCGGCGGAGCTTGTGGGTGACCCAACTCAAGTTGTGAGCGGTTTTGGGTGATTCGCCGCGACGGAGTGTCGAAGAATCAACCCGTAGAGAGCATTTGATCCTTGCGCGGATCAAGGGGGAGCTACACCCTTGCGCGGGTGCTCCAACGAGGATTAGTGGAGAGTGGCGACTCTCCGATACCTCGGCAAAACATCGCCGCGTTCCTCTCTCCATTTACTTTGAGCATTTACTTTAAGTATTTACTTTGAGCAATTCAATACTCGTCTTTACATTCATAGAATTGCTATGCTAGAGTAAGTTTGGAACATAGGTTGTAAGTCTTTTGTGCCTTGATTTGATAGAAACACTTTGTCTAGGCACAAGGGGTTAATTGGGCTATCCGTAGGATTTGATTATTGCAAGAAAATTTAGAATTAGCCCAATTCACCCCCCCTCTTGGGCATCTTGATCCTTTCAACTCCAACAGTAACAAGTAAATTCCTCATCTCAAACCCCAAATCCATGCTCCATTTTAAGTTGGAACTTGGATTTCCGGATCCAGGGATCCTCAAGACACTTGTCATTTGCCAATTCCAGGAATGAATTAATGATTGTGTGTTGTTGGATTTTTGGAGAGTTGTAGAATTACACAATAAAGAGGACTAAGACATGGAATATTTTTTTCTTATATGCTTAACCAGTTATACAACCACTGTCATGAAACTAACATTCTGTACAGGCACAATAAAAACTAGTAGAAGAATTAGCTAGTAATGCAAATGGCTTGCAAAATGTTCACATGTATACATAAGTCCTTGGCTAGCGGCCCTAGGTGTGAAAATTGACCAGCTCCGCCACTGGCTGCAGACGACATGAAGTCGCTTGCCAAGGATCTGCCTCCACCACCACCGCCAAGTTGCCTACGGGAGAGAAGAACATGGGGGACGGAGAGAGGGAGGGCCTCCCCTATAGGAAATACGAAGGAAGAAACAAGTCGTTTTTTTTGCTAAAAAGACTGACCAGTCCACTGCTCACACGCGCTTTGCTACACGTGACCTCTTCTCCGAGTTATCGGCCAGGTTGTACAGTCGACTGTTATAAACACAAAAACGAACCAGTATAGACTATTTGTGCACCACTTAAAATGTTTTGGACTCAGAAATGAAAATTCAAAGTTAGAGGACCTAATTGATATAAGTAGACAAGTTGATAGGCTAACCATGCATTTTACTCTAAAGTTAAACAGAGTACTCTCCGCCCGTATGAATGAGGAATTAATTAATAGCTTAGCCCTATCAGTTAATGGAGAGCTGGTAGCTACGAGCTACAGTCGACCATAATGGCACATAAACGGACAGTGCAAATGCCACCCACATATTAATTAAATCCTCTTGCTATTACTCTGGCAGGTTTATGGATTCCACCTTCCCTTGTTCTGTTTTTTTTTTCACGGGATGGTCAACTTTTTTTTCACGGGATTCTCGGAACTGTACTGTGTCCCAAACATTGCTGCCTCACGAACTGATTCCTCTTTTTTATGGTGTATAATATGCATGGCTTGTGTGTGTGACCTTCAAGGTTTGGAATAGCAAGAAACAGGATCTCCTTTTGGGGTGTAATTCCTCTGCCTCGATGAAATAAGAGCTTTGGTAACAGGTAAGTTACAGTATTTCATTGGTTTTTATGGTAAGTTCCGTAAGGATCATAGAAATTCAGCAGCATGGTGCGTCCACATTCATGGAAAGAGGCGCATGCTAACAGTGTTGCCGCCTTGTAGAAAATAGACCGCACCCCCAAACAAGAGGGAGCGAGAGCAGGTGCAACAGGGAGAGAGTCAGTCTCAGATAGATGGCTGTCCACCACGCTAGTGACATCCAGCAGCTGCAGCGACTTCCATGGTTCCACTTGTTGGCGGCTCTCGGCGCCCTCTACCTCGGCGCCACACACTTCGCTGCTGCTGGCCTACCTCGGCCTCCCCAACTTCCTCGCGCCACGACCCCGGACGGACCTTCGCCGCCGCTTCGGCGCGCGTGGGCCGTGGTCACGGGCTCGACATCAGGCATCGGCAGATCCATGGCCTTTGAGCTCGCGCGCCAGGGCCTCAATGTCGTCCTCGTCGGCCGCGACCCCGGCAAGCTCCGGGACGTCTCGGACACCATCACCAAGACTCATGCTGGCGTGCAGACCAAGACGGTCCTGTTCGACCTCGCCTTCGTCTCCACGGCTCAAGGTGAAAGAAAAAAACGCGATACGCATGATGATCGAATCTGTTGTAACAAAACAACTAGACTGGGCATCTCTGTGCTGATGATGGTGTGCTAAACATTTGGCAGGTGAAGAGGCGATGCGGCGGCTCCGCGAGGTCGTGGACGGGCTTGACGTGGGGCTCCTGGTCAACAACGCCGGCGTGGCGAAGCCATGCGCCGTGTACCTGCACGAATTCGACGTGGACGCGTGGGTGAAGATGATACGGGTGAACCTGTGGGCGCTGACCGAGGTCACGGCGGCGGTGCTGCCCGGGATGGTGGCTCGCCGGAGGGGCGCCATCGTGAACATCGGATCCGGGTCAACGGAGGCCATCCCATCCTTCCCCCCTCTACACGATCTATGCCGCCACCAAACGGTAATAATTTACTACGTATTTAACTGGCATCTTTTGTTTTTTCTTTGGTGAATTTTATTAGTCCTAATTATTGGTTGCAATTCATGTTCTCTTCCCTCCCGAGTCCACCAAACGGTAATAATTTACGTTTACACCTTTCTCCAAAAACACGCTTGGAATCATATACTCCAAAATAGTGTTTGAGCTAGCCAGAGCTGTGTCAATATTATCCAAAATGCAAAGTATTCATAATAAGCTTTACGATAAGTGTCTAATCTTTGGAGTAAAAATTTCAAGCAGGTATGTTTCTCAATTCTCGAGGAGCCTCTACGTTGAGTACAGAAGCAAAGGGATTCATATCCAATGTCAGGTAACTCAGAACAGTAAGCATTTTTATATATTCATTTGTATATACTCCTTTCGTTTTAATTATAGGTTGTTTTGCCTTTTCTAAGACAGCTATTCACGTGATTGAACCTTGATTGCTTCTGATGGGTTTCAATTCTAGCCTATCCTAATTTGTTTGGGACTTAAAGGCTTTGTTGTTGTTGTTGTTTTGCCTTTTCTAAATATATAACTTCTATTATAAGATGGCCATATCGTATATATATCTAGGTGTATAGCAAAAGCTATGTATCTAGAAAAGACAAAAATAATCTATAATTTGGGACAAAGGGTGGTAATATTTAACACAAATAACTGTAGAATAGTGTCGTGTTTCAGTACTACAGATTTGATACTATTATATATTTTTATTTTAAGATTAAAACATATTTTTATAACATAACATTATATGATCTGTTATACATGTGCAAAGAAAATTATTTTCTTATCTTTTGGGATAACCTTAAGGGCTTGTTTAGTAGAGCTTCATCTGACTCTGATTCTCTAAGGAAGCTGATTCTCTGAGAGAAGTGATTATGTGGCTGAAAATGATTCTCTTTAATTTTTTAGCATAAACTCTTGAAATCATGATGGAGAATCATTTCACGGAATCAGGAGAAGCTACTTTTTTCAGCTCTCAGCCTCCTAGTTTCTTTCAGATAATCACTTTACGGAATCAGCAGAGAATCATTTCTCTCAAAAACTGTTTGGCAGAGCTCCTGCTGGATTCAGCAGAGAATCAGCTCTGGGAGCTCTACCAAACGGGGCCTAAATACAGTTGCTTGCAAGCGGTAGCTCAAGTTACAGTTATACATCCATGCCGTAGAGTCTGTATCTTCCTACGTTGCCTTTACAGTACGTCAATAATTTAATGCTTCTGTTGCAAATAGGTAGAGGCTGTTTAGATACATTAGCCATGGCAAAAGATTTGCTCTTCATCTTTTGCCGCTAAACTTTAGCTATTCAAACTTTAGCTTGAGGTGTTTAGATCCATGGTAAATGACACTGTTTTTATAAAAGACTGATTTGTCCTCATTTAATGACTGATTTGGTTCATTAATTGTGATCCATGCACGGTAATGCATGCTGCGTGCTGGGATTCTTGCTGCTGCACGCCGGTGATGCTGCTCGCCGGGCTACTGCACGCCGGTGTTGCACGTTCATTTTCAAACAATAAAAAATTACACTTTATTGCACAATTATTCAATAGTTAAAGTACACAATTCAATTGTGCTCAACCATACAAATCAATCACACACGTTATAATTCAAGTACACAATTCAAATATTCATGATCTATTTAACAAACCAATGATTATTTGGTCACGAAAACCATTTATGTACGCAGATTTATCCCTTGGCGGCGACTGACCAGTACATGTTTGAGAGGTCGATGCCTCAGGTGGAACATAGTTCTCATCACGATCACAACGATTAAAGTCTCTATCCACTATTCCACTCGATCGAATGAAGTTATGTAGTGCCATGCATGCTACGATTATTTGGCTTTGCTTATGAGGTGCATAACTTAGCATATGCAACAAAATCCTCCACTTCATCTTCAGAACTCCAAATGACCTCTCGATGACATTTCTAATAGATGAATGTGCGAAGTTGAAGATCTCTTTTTTACCTTATAGCTCCGGGCCTTCTCGATACCCCGGAAGATGGTACTTCGTTTCCTTGTAGGGCGCAAGATAACCCGGACGGTTCGGGTACCTAGAGTCCACCAAGTAAAATTTTCTTACACAATAGAACATTTTCGTAAGTTTGAACTAGTTGGACTAGAAGCTGTGATTGCAACATTAGAAGTTGTTTACCTGTCGGTGGATGTGGAAACATGTCGCCGTACTTGGTCATAGCATCCGTGAACACTCTCATGTCATGTACAGAACCAGTGCATCCAGCAAGAACAAATATGAATCTCATGTCGAAGTCACAAACAGCCAGCACATTCTGTGTTATCATGTCCTTGCGGCATATGTGCTGAACCACCTTATCACTTGGCACCACACATGGTATGTGAGTGCCATCTAGTGTTCCTATACAATTGTTGAGGGGATGGAACCTAGGATTTCTCAATCTATGATGAATTGTTCTGAATTCTGGGTCAACTGGCTTAATTATGTCTGCAGCTAGCTTAATCACACATTGCAAAACTTTCTCGAAGTTGTTGTGAACTGTGTCTAATGATCTCTCAAATCTATCCTCAGCTTGCCTAACTGACTGTAGTGCTCCTAGCATCTATAGACTAAAGCCTCCACTGAGGTACTCTTTGTGCTTGATTTGAGGCCATATGACTCAACCAAAAGATCATGAAGTCGATTAAACATAGTTGGGCTCATTCTAAACATGTTGTAGGATCTATTTCTATTTCCTAGAGTTCTCTCTACCCATTGCAACCTAGTTACCATTGGTTTCCTTCTCTTAGCCTTATTGCAGTATTTGTCATAGTGATCAGCAAACAAAAGCATAGCGTCCAGGAAACCTTTGTCATCATCATCAACAAGAAGTTTGAAGAGTTTCTAATCACTTGACTCATCTAGATTGTCCCCATCTCTTGTTGAATTACCATCCTGGCACATAAATGCATCACAAACTCAATTACATGTTAAAATATTACAGTTGAAATGACAAACAGGCTCACATCACAATCATAATTCAAAGTCATCACATTCATAACAGACATAGTGCACATTCATAATAAACATAGTTCAAATGACAAACATAGTTCAAATGACACACATAGTGCAATGACAGACATAGTTCAAATGATACACTTAGTTCAAATGATAGACTGAAATTAAGATAATAGAATCTAGATCAGGTTGTTGACCCTGGCATAGTGCTTCAAGAAGGCCAACCTTCCTTCTGCTGTAGACATTCCAATGAAGAACTCCATACTATTTTCTTCATTGCAGATCCTGTGTATAGCAAACCACTCAGGGACAGTCTCAGATACCCTGCACTCTCTAGCCAACTGCTGCACTAGCCTAATCTTTTCACTGTTGGCATTCTCCCTCTGTTGCTTCACACTAAAATGTTGCTTGAACATGTCATTCCTCTCAGCTTGAATCTTAGCGTTGTCGCTCATGTACTTGTTCATGGCCCTAAGTGTTGGGCTCTTCTTGTGAGAACTAGAGCCAGTGGTGCTTGTGCTGCTTGCTCTCTTGTGGCTACTGATGTTAACTGGAGTATGTACTTGTTCAGGGTCGTCAGTTGCATCCTCCTCTTCCTCATCCATAGTTCCAGCAACAAATGAGGTTGAGCCATCAACAACTACACCATGGAACATTTGGTCCATTTGATCCAAGTATTGTGGCCACCCCCACTTGCATTTCTTCCATTCTGAGTGGCCCTGCAGAACATGTGCTTACCATAGTGAGTATGTGATCAACTAACTTGTGGTCAGACAGGAAACAAGCAGTTTTGCAAGTACCTTAGTGTTGTCATTCCACCATTGATCTGTTGCATCAACAGTGCCATCCTCTCTACAGCCTAACGTAGTGTCATTCTGCAGTCTTCTTTTGAATTGCCATAGTCCCTTCAGTTGTCTAATCCTGTTAGCGATCTGCTTCTGATCATGCACCAAATTGGTTGCAGCATTATACCTAAGTATAATTTTCCTGTACCCTCTCTTTGACATGTTTCCTTTGATGCAGTTACCCTTGTCAATTTGGTCAACCCACAAATTACACAATATTTTGTTATGTGGTTCTGACCAATTTGCCTTGTCAGTTCTAGCCTAAACCATGGATAAACAGAATACACAGATACATTACGAACATGGCAAAATCCAACACCAAGCATATTTTGCAAGGTTTGAGAATGTACCGGGTCTTAAGCATTCGGAAATATCGCTTCGATGTCGGTGTCTTCAACAGCATCTTCGGGGTTGATGTTGAAGTTGTCTACTGCAATAGCACTCGTCGCGGCTCCTCGACGTCCACCGTAGCTCCTCAAACCGGCAGGCATGGCGTAGGTAGATCCATGCATGCCACAAACGCCGACGTTCACAAGAGGCAAGGGAGCGCCATGACCACCACCGGAGGATGACGACTTGGCACGACCGGCCATGGTGCCTCCTCCACCGCCACTGCGAGCCGCGCGTAAGCCGAGGGTTCAACTGCCGCTGTGGACGCGAATGGGAGGGGGACCCATGCTGCCGCCGATGCCTCCATCTTCGCGCCAGACGAAGGAGGCCCTCATAGCCTGCCATTTCGGGCCACCCTTCGCCATGGGAGTTGAGGTCGAGTGCCGCCATGCCCGTCCGGGGAGCATTGAGGCCGCTCGAGCCTGGGAACGGATATGCCGCGTCGGAGAACATGTCGAAGCAGCCGACGGGGGAATACGGATCAAGCTGCGACAGAAAGTCCCTAGTGCGGTCACAGTCGCCGTAGCCGTCGCCGTTGTAACCGTCCATCTGCGTCTGGACGGGGGGAGGAGAAGCTAGAGCTGGATGGCGGGGGGGGAGCTAGATCTAGGTGCCGGGGAGGAGGAGCTAGATCTGGGCGACGGCGGAGGGCGGAGCTAGGGTTGGTGCGGAGGGAGAGAGGACGAGAGCGGCGAGCGGTGCTAGGGTTCGCGCGGAGGGATAGAGCGAGAGCGATAGGGGGGGCAGTGGAATGGATAGGGTACCAAGTGCGGGTGGGTGGGTGCGGGGGTAGTGGGCGTCCGGCTCGCGCCCCCAGGCGTTTTAGCCCAGTTTTGGACCTCTTGGGTGGCAAATGGCAAAACTTTAGCCCTCCCCTTTTGCTCTATTTGCCCAAAACATGGTCTAAAAGTTTTGCTCCACCTGTTTAGATCTATTTACTCCTGAAGTACATGTGTTTTAATTGCTAGCTTTTTCAACTCACCTCCTCTCATGGCTTCAATTTACTGAAGTGCAAGGATTTCGGTCAGTGCGCCAGAGGCATTATTGATGACTTCAATAATGTGCTGTGGACAAAATCACAATTTTTGTGTCCCACAGAAAAAAGACAAATAGTAGAGCTATTTGATTGTATTTACTCCTCCTCCCAAAATAAATGTTTATAGCATTCAAATTTTGTCAAAAATACTTGATCTTCTCACTTCTCAATGCATCTTTCTCTTTTCCCATTGCATCTCTATCTCTACTTCTTGAAATATATTTTGGTCTTTAAGCTTGAGCGTTGGTTCCCATGAGGGATTTAAAACATCATTTACTTTGGGACGAAGGAAGTATACTAATTTCCACATGCTGGTGAGCAACCCTTTAAGTGATCATTGGTACTCCATGATCTATCATATTTCCTATAGATGATAGCCCCCTTCACCCTTAAATATAAGGCCTGCACATATTTTAAAGTTAAGACTTTATTGTCTATAGTCAACAATTGTCTAATCACATACAACCGGCTATGTAAGATTTGTATTCTGTACTATATAAAACCGGCTAATCAACTTTATACAGAAGAGTATTAACATTTATGGTCCCAATCAAATACAAATGATAATATATTTTATGGTGTATACAATGAACGTAGATGATTTAAATTAGAATAACTCTATAAGTTAATTTATTTCGACAAACACTACTGATGACGGACGCTGCAGGCCCCGCTGTTCGTGGACACCAAGATGGCGTCGAGCGTCGCCAAGGCCAAGCGCTTCTCGTCATTTGTGCCAACGTCCGACGCGTACGCGCACGCGGCCGTGCGCTGGATCGGACACGGCGCGCTCTGCGTACCCAACGCCGGGCACCGGGTCCAGCGGTGCCTCGCTGCCGTCGTGCCAGACTGCATTCACGACTGGCTCCGCCTCCGTGAGCACCTCCGGCAGCGGGCACTCTTCCAGCGGCTCAGGTCGGCACGGGCAGCACCGAGCACCCCGACGATTGGGACGACTTTTCGGGAGAAGAGTTAGCAATGTGCGTGGCCAGTGGCCACTGTCCTCTGTAAACTGCGTCCTACTAGCGTTGGGCTACGACGATGGTTAAGTTAATGGTCATGTGGTTGGAACGTGTAATCTTTATTGGCTTTGTATTCGCTTTCCCGGAGGATATTATTGTAGCGTGTTTGGTGGATCGCGATATGATATATGCATGCGATTCTAACAGCCAGTTTGATAAGGTTATTAGCTCCGTTCCATGACGACCTATCTTTTTTTTTCAAGGAAAAAAATTTCGGGCACTTGGGCTTTTATCTAACTTTCAGTTAGATTTGGAGGCAGAAAAGGATCCTTGGAAGAGCATCGAGCCAACAGATATTAAACAGGGGATATGCATTGCTTAGTGCGAACACATGGTGGATATGTGCTTATGCGTGTTAATGATGAGCGATTGCCAAGAGATGACCAAGCTTTGGTTTAGTGTTGAGATTAGTAACCAGGGCGTGAGTAGTGGTGCGTGTGCAACATGTCTCTTTTCTTGTGATGTGTAGGTGTTGAACGTTGAGATATTTGACGATAATGGAGAAGGTCAAGCGAGTTGACGATGGACTCGGAGCAGTGAAGGTCGAGCATAGAGGCATGGACTAAGGGACTGAGGGCCGGACAATGGACCGCGTGGACGGCTAGCACTTGGCGACATCGGCAAGTAAGTGTACATGCGATGGAGTGTAGACAGTGTTGAAGGATGTCAAGACGGAGTATTTATTTAGTTAAAGTTAAGATCTATTAACTCTTCAAAATACAACATCTGACCGCTCTAGGAGCCACTTCACCATGCGACCAACCAAATGGCAACACAGCCAATAGCTCCACCAAAAAAGGTCTCGCCCGTCGACTGGAGCTAAAACGCCATGGAGGAGCTGAAAAGGTTGAGCTTCAACCAGCTCCATCTCGCTCTCGTGGACCCTGCCTTACTCACACTCCGGAGGAGCCGAGGAGGAACCACCCACAACTCTGGCTTCCTCGTGCGCTGAACCTAGTGACAACATAATTTGCACTCCGTCACAGTGCCATATGGTGAGGGGCCGACGCCGGTGGAGGAGTCTAGTGCCGATGGAGGAGGGCCGGTGCCGGTGTGGTTGCTCAGGGATTGGGGATGGCAAGAGATATCTATGAGAGAGATGTGGGCGTGAGAGATCCATGAGAGAGATGTGGAGAGATGAGAGATATAGGGGAATAAAAGGGTGAACCCAATGACAGTTGGGTTCATGTATGAAGTGGACCCAATAAAAAACTGCTCCACCAAATAAGCAGAACTATTTTAGTTAAAATTGTAGCTCTACCAAACGAGCCACTCTGTGAGGGAGAGAGTTTGCTGTCGCCAACCAAGAAAATAGACCAAGCAGGCCACATGCCCCATGCCAAGGATGACAGCAATCGGCTACCACTACTCCATCCGTCCCCTTGTTAGTGCCTTTCTCACACATTGAAGAGTCAAACCTACACAACTTTGATCAAATATAAGTCGCTTTGACTTTTTTTTGGTAGATCTATTTGCTAACATTTATAGTATATACTCCTTTTGTTCCAAATTATAAGTCGCTTTTACCTTTATGGTATATTCATTTTGCTGTCCATCCAGATATAATAATATGTTTACATATATAGCAAAATGATTGAACCAAAAAAATTATAACGATTTATAATTTGAAACGGATGGAGTAATAAGTATCATTAGATTGCTCATTGAAAATATTTTTGTAATACACTTATTTGGAGATACAAATGTTACTGATATTTTCTATAAATGTAAAATGTAGGTGATCCTTGAGAAGGGAGGGAGGGAATACACCTTATTGCTTACTCGCAAAAAAAAGAGTACACCTTATTGCTATTTGCTACGGCATGCCGCTAGCGTCGGCCGTCGCCCTTGCGGGCCGGCCCCATCTCCATGGTGAGGTTCCGAAGCACGTACTTCTGGATCTTGCCGGTGGAGGTCTTGGGCAGCTCAGCTCGGAAGACAACCGTTCGGGGCACCATGTACTGTGGCATGCGCTCCCGGCACCACGCAGTGAAGTCCGTCGCGGTCACCGTGTCCGCCGCATCGTCCTTGAGGTTGACGAATGCGCACGGTGTCTCGCCTCGTAACTCGTCTGGTCGTGCCACCACGGCTGCCTCATTCACCGTCGGATGACTGTAAAGCACCGACTCGACGTCCACGCTGCTGATGTTCTCGCCAGCTTGATGATCATGTCCTTGGAACAGTCTCGGATCTCCAGGTAACCGTCCGGATGCATCACGCCGATGTCCCCCGTGTAGAACCACCCGTCCTCACGTATTGCCGCCTTTGTCGCCTCGTCGTCATTGAGATAGCCGAGCATGACGCAGCCGCCGCGGAACACGATCTCTCCCATCGTGGAGCCGTCGCGGGGCACACTACTGCCGGTTTCCCTGTCGATGATGTCGACTTTGCCCGTGCTCGACGTGCGCACGCCCTGCCTCGCCTTCAGTCGTGCACGCTCCGACGTTGGGAAGTTGTCCCACTCACACCTTCCAAGTGCAGGACACCGGCAGGCCCATGGTCTCGGTTAGCGCGTACCCATGGCTGATCTCGAAGCCAATGGCCTTTGTGCGCTGTATCACTGCTGCTGGCGGTGGCGCGCCAGCCGTGCGGATGCGCACCTTTCCTGGGAGTGGCCGTCGCACGCCCTCGGGGGCGTTGGCCAGCATGTTAAGCACGACGGGCGCGCCACAGAGGTGGATGACCCCATGGCTCGCCATGGCGGCGTACACGGTGGCAGCGTTGACGCGGCGGAGGCAGACGTCGGTGGCGTCCACCATAGCCATCCCCCACGGGAAACTCCAGCCGTTGGCGTGGAACATGGGGAGCGTCCATAGGTACGTCGGCCTCGGCAGAACCGCCTATTCAATGAGTGAGTCAAGTGTGAACAAGGTCCCGCGGTGGCAGTGCACCACGCCCTTGGGCTGCGACGTCGTGCCAGAGGTGTAATTCAGAACAATCGGGTCCCACTCGTACGTTAACGTGTCCGCAGGGGCACCCGGGAACTCCTCATGAGGATCCTCGACGGGGATCACGTGCGGGATCGGGTACCCCGGCGGGAGTAGCCGGAAGCGCGTCTCTGATGAGCATTAGAGACGCCGGGTCAACGAAGACGAGCTTGGAGCCAGAATGGCGAAGCAGGACGGCGGCTGTGCGCGCGTGCAGGCGGGTGTTGATGTTGTTGAGCACGGCGCCACTCATGGGCACGCCAAAGTGCATCTCGTACATGGCCGGGACGTTCGGCAACAGCAAGGACACCTGTATATGCAGTCCGATTCATGGCCTTGTTAATTCCACGTTCCATCGAAGCAAAAACATGCATAAACAAGGAGAATCTCGACGGAGGGTGGCTTACGGTGTCACCGCGGGAGATGCCGAGGGAGACAAGCGCGGAGGCGAGCCGGAGGCATCGTCGGTGTGTCTGGGACCAGGTGAAGACCGTGTCGTGGTACACAACGGAGGGGCAGTCGCTGAAGACGGTGGCCGCACGCTCCAGGAAGCCCAGCAGCGTGAGCGGGCACAAGTTCGCCGGATTCGCTCCGAGATTGCCCATGCCATGGGATGACCATCTGGCATGCAAATTAAAGGCCATAAAATTGCTCTGCGTTGGTTCTTTGAACCATTAGTTTCAAATTGCATGACTCTTTGTACTGAAAAACTGTACTATGCAAATATGTTATTTCAGGTGAACAAAACGAGAAAAGTTTTACAAGCAAGTTTATCATGCATCTGCATATTAGGTTTTCAATGTTACGAGAAAAAGTCATGTCACCGACTTATCACATTATTAATCACGCAGAAAAGCTAAATCTAATAAGATCAAGAATGGAAATTATATCCATGCGATGTATGTTAGGTCTAGCTAATAGATACCTTGCCTAATATTTTTCTTATCTTTCCTATTTCTCAAGAGAGAGAGAAAATAAGTATATATATATATATATATATATATATATATTTGCTATTACCTCATATAAGATAATATATGATAATGGTCATCTAGATCGACGATCTGCAGTCATTTCAGTGTACATAGCTAGCAAAACCAGTTAATAATTGGCTTTTAAATATTTGCATATTTTCTTATAAACTTTGATCCAGAAAAGTTAGACTTCAGATGGAACTAAAACAACTTATGATTTGGACCCTATAAAGTGTATCTAGGTGTAAGTTTTAATAAAGGTGGTGCAATGAGGGTGTTGGAACCTCCCATAGCAACTGATTTTGTTAGCACAATTTATAGATACAATCAGGCCAATATATTTATAGGGTAGATGGTTGAAAAAAATGAAATATTGGAATTCAGTGGTCGGATAGATTCTTCCAGGTTATAACATAAGAAACTCCTAGCATTCAGGGTGTTTTCTTAACGAATCAATCAGCTTGATTTCTTGTATAATTTTCAGATGAAAAAAAAATACAAGATCAAACATATTTTTAAGAAAAAATGATTTCAATGTCTTGCAGCTGATATAGAGTTTTTGCGTTAGATATTTGGAACCTTAATTTCTTTTATAAAGAAATAAATAACGTTTGAAACTTACCACCTGAAACTTTGAACCTTCAAGTACTACTAGTGTAAATAAGGAAGAAAGCAAAATTAAATAATTTCAGGTTTTAAATGAGTTATTTCTGGATGAAGTCAATGCAAGACTTACCTAAATTGTGACGGGGACGAGAGAGAAAACCACGAGGCGGCACTACTTAGCATGTCGGGCAACGTTATCCGTGGCTCACTACTGATCTCGCCACTTGAGCGCGATATGGACGGCCGGTGCCTTCTCTCTCAGTACCAACGGCGGTCTCACAGTTAACAACAACCAGCAGTGATAGTATGTAATAAAGCAGCTGTCAGGGATAACGAATTACCGCTGTTGATTTCAAAGCAACGACAGCTTATCACTTCTAGTAGTTTTGATGCAAGCTGTAGTAATAATGTTACTGGCAACAATGATAATAAACCACATTTGTAGTAGCGTTCTCTCATAGCAAGTACTTCCTCTGTTTATAAAAGAACGTAACTAGTTTGATCAAGTTTACAGTACTCCCTCCATACTTAAAAATAAAGTCGTTTTGGACAGCGACACGGTCTCCAAAGCATAACTTTGACTACTTATTTTTTATAAATATATTTATCAAAAAGTGATATATATAATTTTTTGTGAAAGTATTTTTTAAGACAAATCTATACATATGGTTTTGACATCTCCAAACTCAATAATTTAAAAGTTATTCATGATTTATATTCCCAATGTTTGACCCAAGCCTTGTCTAAAACGACTTTATTTTTTAGTATGGAGGGAGTAAATAGTATTAGCATTTGTGTCTCTAAATAAATTTATTTATTATAAAAATATATTCTATAACTAATCTAAATGATACTTGTTTTGTATCATGAATGTTAATACTTTTCAGGGCACACAACAGACACGATGCGATGACAAGGACGACATCTTTTCAGGGCATATGTTTTCCATGACTGTATGGTATACTGTGCCAGCCTAATTCATCTTCCAAGTGCAGGGTGCAGGTGCTTCACATGGTAGCATAGTTCAGTTACCAAGTTCATCTTTTATCGAGTATATATGTGTCAACGTGTGCAGTTCAAGCTACTCCTGCCGATCCAAAACAAAAAATAGTTGTCAGGAGACTATAAAAACGATTTAGGGCGTGTTTGGTCAGCCTCCTCTCGTGCCACTTCTTCGCCGGAGCCAGAGCCAGAGCACCGGAGCTGAAAACCATCTTGGCTCCGCCTCCGTATGCCAAAAAGGGTTCCGGCTCCTTTGTCTGTAGCACAGAAACACTCCTCCTGTGGCAGTTTAGTGCTGCTTTGGTACCAAAGCCGGAGGGCAGCCAAACACGTCCTTAGATTAGTGAATGCTGAATCGTCTTATATTATTATTTACTCAGAGGTCAATGTAGGATATATTTGTGTTTCCTCATTCTCCATGAGGTTCAGAAAATTCATAAGTAACACGGCTTAACAATGACAGAGAAACATGAGCATATGAGCACAAGTACCTTGGGGCAAGGTGACTATAGTTGCATTAGTCCATTAGTGCTATATACACACACATGCTTAGCACACCAGGGCATTGAATATACTTATTCAACACACCAACCAACCATGTGTCACTCAGTAACTGTAAATAAAATCTTACATTAGAAAGATCCTATCCCGGCCACCAACTCGTGAGAATCAAAATAATCACTGCAGTACTAAATGAAGGATCGAGCATGCGATCAGATGGGGTGAATAGGAGCCAACTAAAATTTCTCCAATAAGAAAATGGCCACCGTCCCAAATCTGTCCTGGAGCTCTCTCAAACCTCAAAACCTTCATGACAAGTACACATAGGCTAACCGGTGACTAGATGCACTCAAGACAGTCCACATAACACAGCGGAAAAGATAGAAAGCGAAAACAGCGAAAGACGCAGCGAGAGAGGCGAAAACGTACACAGTGTGCAGTGACAACACCTCCTAGGAAAACCAACCTAGCCGGTTTTCGAATTGGCTTGGCCGGTTCTGCAGCTGCCAAACTGGTTTCGCTGATTTTATTACAGCCCGAAAACCTCTGCAAAAAAGCCTAGAAATGTCGGATTTAATCCAAACAAACTCCAATTGACCCCAAATTTTGTGGAGATGATTCTAATGGTGTTTTGAAGGTAACCATGGAAGATCAAAACCAAAGTCCCTTAGAATCAAAGCTGGTCTCAAAATACATCTACCGAAGCGGGTTTTCTCAAATTTTCCTCCAAAACTCAATCTATGTGTTCATGAGGAATCTGTCAAATCTGGTTGGTAGAAAGGTTCTTTAGGGGTCATAACACATATTGATCCAGCCCAAACACCTGGAAGAACTCAGAACAAAGAAATCAAAGAAAAGCTACAAAAACCGGGCACCGGAAAGGGAAATCAAGAGATGCAAACCAATAACTCATATTTCAGAGGACAACTTAGCTTTATTTCTTGCAAGATCTAGATCTTACAAGGAGTCTTCTCTCAGATGGGAAAACATAGACAATGTGGTGTGCGCTGGCTTCCGCAGAAAGGTGAGGAAGAGAAGAGAGAGGCACGTGAGAAGATCAGAAAGGGGCTGATGCATGGCTGAGGAAGAGAGAGAGTGGGGATTGTGGGGTGGGCCAGGTTTCGTTCTATTTATATACTATATTACCTGATTTTCAGGCTGATGACTTTTCTAAACACTAGTGGGCTTGGCCACATTAACATAGATGGGCCTTTTAGGAGGTCTACCTCCAAAAATGGGCTCCATTTTCCGAGGCGGACCGCTTAAGAGGGCCACCTCCGTAAATCTATTTTAGGAGGCGAGCACTGTTTGACCGCCTCCGTAAATCCATTTACGGAGGCGGGCAATTTTTGACCGACTGCATAAATAAAATGCCCGTCTCCGAAAATTCTCAGATATTTTAGGAGACGGTTGAATTTGTGACTGCCTCCGTTAATGATCATGCAGTGTCTCCGAAATCATTGATGTGGAAGTGAATGTTGACCTGCATGAAGGACTCAGAGTTAGGCAAGCAAAGAACATAACATGTTGTGGAGAACCATGAGTCAGAAGATTCCTTCAAGAACCTATGACTTGATCAAGATGCCGCTGCTAGGACTGGTTTCTGAGTCTGACTTTGTGAGTGTGAGACCAGTGTGATTTAGTGAGTGTGAGAGTGATGTGGCTGTGTGTGTGAGTTTGTGAGATTGAGTGTGATTCAGTGAGAGTGAAAGTGAGTGGGAGAGTCATTCTAAACTTGTGGCAGAATCGCCTAATCTAATGCATCCCAGGAGTACTTGTGTTCCATTAGACACTAAGTACTCGAGGAAGAACACTAAATTACGCAGTTCCGTCGGGCACACCCCAAGGGAGAACCCGAAAATCCACATTTTTCTATCAGGATCACAAATGAGAGAATAAAATTTACAACATTCTTAAGTCATTTCTTACATCACTTTCCATGCAACATCAGAGTATAATATTTATTGTTTATATAAGCAGAATATGATCATGTTATCAGAGTTATGAACAATTTAATTTAACAGCGGAATATAAACATATGATCAAAGTTACAGCGGAAATAAATAGCTATTCATGATATGATGAAGCATTGATGTATAAAATATGACAACAGATTATAAAACTTCTATTTATAAAAACATTTAATGAGAGTTATGAATAAAAACTACGATCGTAGCGTAAAGAAATCCTCTTTGAGCCCACCAGGAGGGATCCACACATAAGTGTCAACTCTAGCATCCGCCTATCACCTACAACAGGGGGAGATAAAACTCTGAGTACTCAATTGTACTCAGCAAGACTTACCCGTCAGGAGGAAAGAAAAGACTCTAAGGGTATGCAAGGCTATCTAGCTTATAGGTTTATTGCATCAGTAGGAGCATTACTAAATGTGCGTCCTTATATTCAATTTTATTAGCAGTCATCATTAGTTTATTAACTAACCATTCTATGTAAGCACCCGTGCTACTTTCAAGCAGGTGGTAAGCAATCAGAATCATTTTACCATCTTTCATCTTCTAGTT